GGCCAGGCAAGACTCTGGTCAGATGTGTCCAGTAGAGTCCCCTGGTGGTGCAGATGTATTCTGGTGGGTGTCCCAAGAAGAATTTCTAGCCATAATCCCATCCTAAAAGCCAGTTCCTTATTCAAGACATTATAGCATAGTGGGCATGGAGGTTTATTTGGCAGCCTGGCATGGCCAAACCATGCTTTGGGCCAGGTGGGACTGTGGTCAGGGTTCTTTGGGACAGTCCCCCAGTGGCATTGACAGAAAGTTTGGAGTGGCCCAAGAAGTATTTTGTCTCATAATCCCATCCTAATCTGACCTTCATTTAGGGCTCTGTACTTGATGTGGGATATTATTTTACATATTAATTAGTACATATGCACAGCTAATGAAATTCTCTGTCTTTAGGATGTGGAAGTCACTAATAACAAGCTTCTATTGGGTCTAGATTAGCTTTGAAAAAGGAACTGGGAACCGGGAATAAGGAATAGGGAATAAGGAACTGGGAATAAGCAACCAACTTCAGTCTCCCGGCTAAGGGCTGGGGAGGCTCAGGACAGGCTGGGGAGGGGGTGGTGCTTAGCAAGCAGAACTGTACCTCTTGCAGGGAGGCACCACTTGCAGAGGAACAGTGAGGGCCAGGCAGGGGTGATGCGCAGCGGGTACCCCCCCTACAGAAAGGCGCCACCAACACCAGCAGTGCCTGCTCGCCACCCCACCAGCACCATCTGCGGGCAGTTCACAATCCCCACTGGCTGCCGCCACCACTGCCCTCTGGCCTGTTTGCACAGCTTCTAGCTCCTTTTTACCTAGAGGAATAACGTGTCATGCTATAGGAGATAATGTACAGCAGCACAGCATGTGGCTCTCTCTCCCCTTTTCAAAATCCTAGCTCTGCCCATCGGGGGTGGAGGGGCAGATTAACCCTTTAGTGGGCCCCAAGCAGACGAACTCATGGGCCCCTACTTCACACTGTAGATTTATCTTACATTTCTTACTCGATAGTTTTAGGTAACATAAGCACAACTGGGCCCCTTCTTCACTCAGGGCCCTGGGCACGTGCCTAGTTTGCCTACGTGTTAATCCGGCCCCGCTGCCCATACGGCTCCCTGCCGCCCCGGGGCAGTGTCGGGTCTGAGATCTTCGTGGACCCGGAAGCAGAGGCTGAAGAGGAAGGGGCCGCCGCAGCGACAAAGCAGGAAGGCCGCTTTTGTGTCCCAGGCCGAGCTCGGTGCCCGCTGGGCTCGGCCTCCAGCCCCGGCCAGGTTCATCCCGGGCTTCATCCGCCGGCTCCGGGCGAGGAC